CTCCTCTTTCAACTTCAGCTCCAAAAAAAAAAGGTTGGGAAGGGGGAAAAGGTTTGGCCGACCCTCCCCCTTGGCTAGGTCGCACGAAAGGAAGCCTTCGTCGCTTCTTTCTCTTGCTCGGACGCACACCAGCAAGAGCCGAACGGCTCTTGCCCTCTCCCGCTCTCTCTTCCCCATGGATGGGGTGGGCGAACGAAACTAAAGAGCCGAACGGCTCTCTCTGTCTCTCTCCGTGCTCTGTCTGGGAAGGAACCAAACGAACGCAAGGGGAGCCGAACGCTCCCCTCTCCTCTCCGTCTGGTCGAGATGGAAACACACGCAGAGAGCCGAGAGGCTCTCTCCGTCTCCCTCTCTCGCTCTGGTCGGGACGTACAACACAAGGGAGCCGAATGCTCTCCCTCTCTCCCTTGCGTGCTCTTGGAGAGCACGAGCAGCAGCCGAAAGCCACCGCCCAAATGGACCAATCCGCCTCATACACGTGGGAATGAGGGATTTAGGGCAAAATTTCACAAGAAATCTGAGCCCTTGATTTAGATTTCAGATTTAGGTATTTGATTTAGCCTAAATCAAACAATTGGGCTTGAAATTGAGTCCGAACTGGACTTGACCCGAACCGATTTGGGTCGGTTTGGGTCCGATTGGATCCGATCAAGTTAATTTTGTGAAATTAAACTTGAATCGGTCCCGAACGTGTCGAATTGGGCTCGACGACGCTCGACGGGGTTCAATTGGTTCGATTTGATTTAAATTAAATTAAATTTGATTTAATTTAATTAAATTGAGGCTCAATTCGGATTAATTTCACCTCGATGATGATCAATTGAGTTGATCGAGCGCGATCGAGCCTAGTCGGGCTCAATCGGGGTCGAGTCGATGCGAAAATATTCGTCAACAGTTGGGATTTTTGGGGGCTTTTGGTTCTTTTAGATCTTCTTAGATTCCATATTTCCCATTGTGAGACTTACAGAATACATAGAACTCTCTTCATACACAGTCATATCCTACTTAACTTCTCAACTCTCATTTAGAGAATACATTTTAGTAAAGATCAAGTATCATCCACAAAAAAATTTAGATCCAACAATTCTAGATAATGTTTTTGGCATTAAAATCACTTCCTTTAAATTTTATCAAAAGAAATTTTCCATTTGTTTTTGTAGAATGTTTATTCTTTTTTATAATTGAATGGTGCGTTATATTGCTCATCATTTAGTATTCCTGATCTTTCCGATACTTTACTTTTCGCTTATGAATATGCAAAATGGTTTAAATACTACACATACAAAAAGTCAATATCAACAATAGGATCGTTGTATATTGCAATCCAGAGAACTTTAACAGGGCATGCAACGCAATTTACTTCTAAGTTCACAGTGGTTAATTGGAAACAGAGGTATCCCTATTATGTTAGTACTTCTTAAAACTAGAGAGTTCAAATCCAGAATAATTTGCTCGTGTTTCAAATATTCTAGGTATTCTAGCAAGAATTGATCATAACAAATAAGATAACAATTCTTGTGCATTTGGCGCAAAAGCATTAGTCATTAGCTCGCTTTTCTAAATAAAATAAATTAGAACTTAATAAGATGTCATTACAAAAGATCATTCTCATTTCCAATTTTCAATCATGTGGTCCGCCTTTGTTAAAATAGAATGTCTTCATGTTATCCCGTGCTTATTATTTAAAAGTTGCTAGCCATCCATCACAATTTTTCTCAAACACATTATTCCAGCTTCATTTATAATATGTAATGCTCAAAAAATGATGAATTGATTATGATGATACTGAATGATCTTGTGATACATTTCAACAATTTGCTGTTTTTACTTTTCCTATTCAAGTTTGTTTGGAATGCCAAGCTTGCTGTTTTTAATATCTCCATTAGTTGTTCCTTGTAAATTGTATAAACAAAAGTTAAGGAATATGTAATGAAAAACATACCGTGGCTATGATAAGAAATGCTGCAACTGGATACCGCTTCAGTCTAAAAGGAGGAACAGAATAGAGAGTGCCAAGCAAAAGACCTAGACAGTATAAAGAAGAAATGAACGGACCAAAGTTGAATGCAACAATCAGTAGGCCAGCTGAAGCAAAAAATAACACCAAAAGCCATGCAGACTGCACTGAAAGATCTCCAGCAGCTATCGGTAAATATGGCTTGTTAACCCTGCAACACTTGAAGAATCAGGAATAAATGTGCAGCAGTGGCCTCAATGATCTTCATAGGCAGGGATAGATGATGTTTCCCCCAAATTGCAGAAAACATGAATAAAAGATTCACATGTTATGTTAACTGCAAAAGGAGTAAAGAGGTGGTGAAGAAACGATGAAATATTCTTGGAAATGTGAAATGGGAAAAAAAGAACAATGTATAGCATCATGACAAGCATACTTGTCAATTCCAACGTCATAAATCTGATTAATCCCCACAATGTAACCATTGCCACAAATAAGAGCTATGAGCCCATATAATGCCTTGAATATCAACCACCAATCTATTAGGGCCGGATTCTCTATTAAAGCTCTAACAACCAAAGCTCTGGCATACAGAAAAAACAGGTTAGGAGATGATATGAAGGATTTTATCAAAGTTTATCATTAAAAAAAACGTATATGGTGCATGAGGTTCCAGCCAAAGCAGTGCTTGGCAGAAAGCTTGATGCATGCAGTTTTTGCCCGGCATTGCAAAGAGGTGGTTCTGAATGATTAGAACAAAACTCCAAAAAACAATAGTGCGGTAACTGCTTTCATGCGCACCCTCTAAAAATCATATTAGGCGATGAATTTGGATTACACTTCATCAAGGAATTGAATCGCTTACACAGATCCCAGGGCAGTCCCACGAATCGTGTGTGGCCTTAAAAATCTCCAACACGAATCTTGGAAGTTATATAAATTCTTTAATAAAGGATTGGATCCAGTAGCACCAACTTGAGAACATGCCTGCAAACATAGAAGGTTCATTAAACTCCTTTAAAGAGTTCGACTTTAATTAAGAGGCACAAATTACAGTTTCAGGCATAAATGCAAACATTGGAACTTCCAATTCCATAATGGTCCCTTTTTAGACTTGATGATTAAAAGGCTCCAAGAGTGGCGATTCTAGAACGGTTATGGCTTTTTTTTTAAAGCTCGAGTAATAAATAAGAAATAATTCCAATAAACCTAACAAAAAAATAGATATATGATATGCTTCTTGATTGAATCAATAAAGGATAGTACATCTTTTGAGTAGGTGGAGCTCCTAGAGGACGAAGAAGAGGAAAAAAAAGAAGAGGGAGAGAAAAAACAGAGTTTCATTTCCATGATCATAATTACAAAAGGGGGTTTATTTATAGGCTTTATAAATGAAAAAAGAGGGTTAGTTGTCTAAAATAATAATAAAATACTTTATAAAAATACCTCTAATGTTATAGGTTTATTTATAATAAAGTCAGAAGTTGGTTCGCTCAAATTGTTACCTAGACCGGGTGCATACTATAAACTTTAACTGTTGTCTTGAGCTTGTTCTTCTGATTTGTGAATCCAATCTTAACCTTGTTTTTGTGTTGTATTTGTATCTAGAGTAATGTATTGGTGCTTAACACTCCCGCCCCTATCAAAACTAACCTGTCCTCAAGATTAAGGGATATGAAAGAAGATAAGAGAGTTGAAAAACTCTCCCAAGTGGCATCATCTGGAGTAGAAAGTGTCCATTATAAAAGAACATGTTTAAGAGGTTGTCCATGTATTTTGATAATAAAGGTAGCGAGTATGGAATGAGGTAAGCTTAGTGTTTGGTTGTTATAGCTAAGAAGAGTTAAAGGTGTACTTGTAGCTGGAGGGCTTCCAAAAAAAATGTTTGAGGATAGAGATATGGAAGACGGGATAAATCTTCCTTTCTAGAGGAAGAGTTAATTGATATATCACTTTTCTGACAATTGATTGAACCTGAAAGGAGACGAAATAACATTTGGCTAGTTTGGAGTGGGTACAATTAACAGCAGAATTTGACGAAAGGGTTGTAATTTAATCAAAACCCAATCACTTACTGCCAATTGTAAGTCACATCGATGACGATCAGCCATTAATTTCATTTTATGTTGGTCTTGTTGCATGTTAATACGGAGGGTTTGTAAAAGACTCTGGCGGCAAGTTACTACTGAATTTAAAGTATGAATTTTTGATGTGTCGTTAACATAGGAAGGTATTGAGGAGAGATTTAGGCACAATGTGGGAAATAGACCATAATTTGGATGTGTTGGAAGTGTAGGCACGAAGGTATGTTCCAAAAATCTATTTAGGACGTCAATTTGGCCATAAGTATGTGGATGATATGTAGCATTATAGTGAAGTGTTGTGTCACTTAGAGTAAAAAGATGACGCTAAAGTTTACTTTAAAAAAAATACTATCTATTTGAGATGAAGGATTTTGGAAAATTGTGCAAACGGAAAACCATATTGAAAAGAGATTGGCAACTTGGATTAGAGTATGGTTGCATTTCCAGGATGTGTACTCGACAGAATCAAGCTCTTTTTTCACCCAGGGAGAATGATGATGACATCCGACCATGAAAATTTATCAGAGGAGCGGAAGATCGACGGCCATAATTGTACCACTTTATTTTGAGTTATTATTTATATTTTGATTTATTTATTAACTTTTTTTGTTTTTACCCTCACTTTAGGGAGTAGGCCTATGTGACCCTAGAAGGCATTTTTTTCATTTGTCTTATTATTGTATTTTGACTATTTATAGCCCCATCTTCTTTTTAAGGGGATGGATAATTATTAAGAGAAAATTCTGCACTTTGTTCTTAAGAGCTTTGAGAGTTCTTATGAGAGTTGAAGTCCCTAGGTGAGGGCGACTTACTACCCACCAGCCACAGCAAACGTCTGGGCTCGTGGCTTGAAGTCCCTAGGTAAGGGCAAAGTATTACCCATCAGCCGTAGGAAGTGTCTGGGCTCGTGGTTTATTTTCTCCACCGACTCCCTCTCCTCCTCCCCTAGCCGCCACATTCATCTCGCTCTGATACCATTCCTCTTCCCTCAGTCCTTCCGCACCACTCGGCCAAACCACCTCCACCAAGACGCAGGCCTCCACTTCCCCCAACTTTTGGTTGAACCCTTCCCCCACCCAACCACCGACCCACTACTTACCTAGCCACCGGCCACCATCCCCCCCTCCCCATGGCTCCAAAATTTCAAAACCAATCATTCATTATTTTCCTAATTTAAATTCTTGTAAATTTGGAAAGTCAAAAGATTTCAAATTTAAATAAGATTAGATTACGTGAAAAGGTTGGAGTAGCTCCAGTGGAAGATAAGATTAGAGAGAGTCGCCTTAGATGGTTTGATCACATTAAACGGAGGCCTTCCGATGACCCGGTTAGGAAAGTTGAAGTATTAGATTTGACTTATGTTAAGAAAGGTAGAGGTAGACCTAAAAAGACTTGGTTAGAAAATATTAGAAATGATCTTTCTTTATTAGATTTAAATGATAATTTGACTTTTAACCAGACACAATGGCGAAAAAAGATTCATGTGGCCGACCCCACGTAGTGGGACAAAGGTTTGATGTTTTTGTTGTTGAATTTGAAATCTCTTTCCTAAAAGAAAATAGTTATGTTAGGAAAGCTCCTCCAATCATGCTATTTGAAATTTAAATAAATAATTACCATTATTTCTTTTCCTAATTAATATTCCAAGATTGGCGAGTTATTAAACACCTCACCTCTCCCCTTTGATTTCAAATTTTAAATTTCAAATGCATAGTCACTACTTTTCATAATTAGCATATTTTAAATTAGGAAGGTTTTCAAATCATATTTTAATTTATTCAAAATCTCAAATCCCTTTGCTAAAATAAATATGAGATGCATTAGGAAACCTCCCCCAATCATGCCAATTTGAATTTAATTGGAGATTGGCCTTAATTTTACCTCCCATAATTGATAACCTAGGATTGGAAAGTCATAAAACGCTCCAATCAAGTCCCCATCAAAGAGGCCGCCCCCTCCCTCTATCCCTTTCTCCTTTTGCTCCTCCCAATTAAGTCTCTCAATCAATTACTCCAAATTAACTTCAGATTTGAGATTTGATTTAATTCTTATTTTTTTAATTGAGAGATCATAGTTGGCAACTCTATTAAATCAATAATCCCACCCCAATCATGCTAGCTTGGTTCTACATTAGTTATACTTTTAATGTTTAAAATGCATGCATTTACTGAAGAGAATTGATACATCATCAAAACCAACTTGATCAAACGTGAATCTCAATGCATATTAGAATTGAACACTTTCGGAATTAAAGGCAGGCCAATCAAAACTCCAATTCAGCAAACTTAAAGTCAAACAGAACATCTCGACGAGACGAACCCATCAATACCAAAAGTAATTTGATCCAACTACAAATGAGTCCAAATAAAACACTTGAAGCATATTGAAAATTTTGGACATATATTTGAGAATCAAACAATCTTCAAATCAAATCAAGCTTCTGATGAGATTGATCCAACAAGCCCAAATTTGTCTAATTTCAACATCATTAGAACACTTAAATGCCAAAATAATGGCCTATGAGTGCAGGAATCAATTTGGATCATCCTATGGAGTTTTTCAAATTTTTGTTATATTTATGGGGCATGTCACTTTCAAAAATCTATAATAGGGGCTTGGTCATTTGCATGATATTAATGAGCATTCGAAGACTTGAAGAATCATAGAGATCCACTTGAGCACTATTGCTAACAACTATCTGATTATCATCGTTGGACCACCATCTAATAGTCGTTATTGGACCATCATCTAACTGTTGTCATTAGATCACCGTTAAACAGCCGTCATCATACCACCACCTAATTGTTGCAATCAAATCACCGCTCAATCATTGCCATCGAATTATCTCTTTTGACCACCACATTCGAACCACTACCCAACCATCGCTGATAGACCACAGTGCACCCGCCATCATTAAATGACCGACAAACTGTCACCATCAAAACAACACCCAATTTCTATCGACATATCCTTCGCCCAACTATGATCATCCGACCACTATCGTCCAACTACAATCGCCTGGCTCTAGTCCTTCAACCATAATTGTCGAATTATGATCGCTCAACCACCATTACCCGACTATGATCTTCAACTAACGTAACCCAACTAAGTTCAACAAGCCATCGTCACCCGACCACAGTTTTACAACCACCATCAGCCAACAAACGCCCTTCGGCCATCATTGCCTAATTATGGTCCTCCAACCACCATCGCTAGACTAAAATTCTCCAACCACCATCGCTCGACTAAAATTCTCCAACCACCATCGTCAATTTACAATCCTCTGACCACCATCGCATGAATATGATTCTCCGACCACAGCCATCCAACTATGATCATATAACCATCATCACTTGAATGAAATCCTTTAACGGTTTGACCTTCATTATGAGACTATGCTCTAGAACAATTGTCGCATGGCTACAGTGATGTCTGTTGACTTCATCATCTACCATCGTCGACAACAACAACACCCTTCATCGGCCTCACCGATGCATGCTATCAATACCAATATGACCCCTAATATCAACATCAAGACTTATGATATACTTCTTGAACTTTGTTCTCCCTCCCTATAGGAGAATGACCAAACAAACAACAAATAGCCTCTTGAAGACAACTCCCAAGCTAAATGACTCTTTTAACTTCCAACGCAAAATCTATTATGTACAATTTATGTTTATAATAGTGTATCAACACATTTCTCAATCACATGAAAAGGCATCATTTGTGACAGATGACAAACATTATTGGAATCATTTCAACTGAGTCGAGCTCATTGTTCTTTCCCTTTTAGAGTTATTCACGAAAAAAATACAATGTCTATTGTAACCTTATTTTATCGGTTTTTATTGAGCATAATATAAAGCTAAAACATTAAGTTCTTTCTCATCCGTAACAAATATTCTGACACACAACAATAATATAGGAAAATTTAAAGTTTCTCTAAAAATTCACTGATGTGTGTTTACATGGGTATGAATTTGCTATGTAACCTTAAACAAAGCAATAGCTCATAGAAAAAATTAACTTAATGACTAAACTCTGCCTCATCATTTCTCCTCGTCCCTTCAACATAACAAATTTCAGAACTAAAAAAGAAACAAGATCCGTGATGTCGGGCGTTTATCCACAATCTAAAACCCAGCATATGCATTCTCCCTAACATCAACAAACACCAAAACAAGAGAAACAAAATGCCATAACAGAACAAAAAGCCCAAAATACAATCTGAGAATATTAACATTTTCTAAAACTGGGTTTTTTCCATCAGAAAACGCAGCATACCCAGAATCCAATATGAGCCGACTTTCCGCGCTGAGAAACTGACGCTGGAGGTCTGCATCTTGAAGCAAGATGTGGGGACGAAATCCGCAGAGAAGAAACGGGAAACAGGCAAGAGAGTGAGAACTTAGCTTCGAATCGAAAGCTCGAGGCATTAAGAGCGTGCGTCGTTGAAGGACTAGCGGTAGGAGTGGCCGCGGAAAAAGCCATCCGAAGTCCAATAATAGGTCAACCCGGCGGACGGAAAATACCACCAGACTACCAGAGCATAGAACTTTGTCGGATAACGGAGGAAATTAGGAATTTTAAATAGTGCTTCCTTAAAATGTAATTATATAAAATGAATAATATATATATATATAATCAAAAAAAAACCTTTAATATTATATAAACAATTAATAATATTAAAAATTTATTGTTTTAAATCTTGTAAAATGTTTCCTATACAAAATTTAATAAATTTAAACTTTTATTATTAAAAAGGTTATACCTTAAATTAAAAATATATTTACATAATTTTAAAAATACAAATCTTAAATATTAATCATTTAAATTAAATATAAATAATTTGTCTAATTAAATAAAATTAACAAAATATTTTGTTTTCTATACTGTGTAAAATTTTTCTTACATATTTTATTATTATATAAATCTATAATTTAGAACTTTAAATTTATAGTATATATATATATATAATATAGACAGTTTATAAGAGAAGTTTAATTAAATATAATAATTTATAAGTCATTTTATTAAAAATTATTTAGCTATATCATTTATTTTTTTAAAATTTAAAAATGTATATTTATTTTAATATATTTTCATTATAAATATTTAATACTTATATTAAATTAATTTTATAATATTTTCATACTAATTAATATATTAAATATTTTAATTAAAATATTAATAGCCTCATATGAAAAAATATATTTTATTTTTCCTAATAATATTATTGATGATTTAAATTATTTATTTGCATCAATCAGAAGTGCATGCACCAAAAACTATATTTATTACTGTGATAACATTTATAAAGTTTGTCGCACTAAAAATCAAAATAAAATCCATTAATGAACTAGTTATTTTATTATAAGCATAAAAGAATATACCACACAAAAATGTTGCCAAGATAAATGATATATAGAATACAAAAATGGGGATTGATTTCTTATGAATTATATATCAACTTTAGTACAAAATATGGTGATTCTCTTAAACAAAACAAAGTAAAGTATGGAATTCAGTACTTAATTCATATTGAAGCATAAATAATCGATCCAATTAATTTAGTCTTTAAAACAAATTAATAGAACTCAGATTCTTATTTTAAACCAACTCATGACCTGAGAGAATAATAACAAGATTAAAAAATGTCTAGCAATAATTATAAAGAATATGGAGGTGGCAAATACAACAACAGAACATCAAGCTTGTCCACACTATGCGAGGTCAGCTTACATGAAGCATTTTTTTCTCCATTGTTGTCGTGTTAAGAGTCAATTTCCTCGTTTAAATAACAATAGATATTCATTTCTAATATTTTATCTCCTTTCATTTCACCAAGGTTGTTTAGTCTCCTCTAACCTTTCTTAATATAAGTTAAATCTAAAAGCATCTACTTTCTAACCGGTTCATCAGAAGGGCGTCATTTTTAATGTGACCAAACCATCTAAGGGCGACTCCCTCTAATATATCATCCACTGGAGCTAACTTCAATCTTTTCACGTATATGTTCATTTCATAATCTTATCTCTAAGAGTAAAGTCACTTCATCCACCTGAGCATTACCTCAATTCTGCTACAACAATTAATTTTATGGTTTCTTTTTTACTAGACAACATTTGCACCATAAAGTATTGCCATAGACTCACCCACCATCTTATAAGATTTTTCTCGTAAGTTTGAGGGGGACTTTTCTATCACACAACAAGCCTGATGCATCTCCACTTTTCAACCATCAACTTTGAAATTATACCATCCTCTTTATTTGAATATAATATATATATATATATATATATATATATATCGTCTTCCTTAGTATATAATTAATTATATAAATCATTAAAAGCTAAAATCTTTGCATCGCATATTGCTTTCTTAGACTCCTTACGAGCCTCTTTAAAATTTTCCCAATTATCAAAATTGTTTACATCTAAACTAATTTTTGTAACAAATCTTATTATTTCTTTATATTTTATTATATATTTTGATTTCACTACCAACTATTTTTACTATTATTAGCCTTTTCCTTTGATACTCCGAACAACTTTTATAGCAATCTTAATATCATTAGTTACTTTTTACCACACAACATTAGCTTCCTCATGGCGGATGCAAAGAATGCAAGGAGACAAAAAAAATGGCAAGTATAAGATAAGATGTGAGTGAGAAAAATCTGGAGGGAGAGAGAAAAAGGGAAAGACGGGAGGTTGCTCAACCAAAAAGTTTGGCAGGTACAAGGGAAGATGATATCTGATACCCTACACTTTTGGGTTTCTTAAATCACATCCAAAGCAGCTATAAGCAAGAAACTCAACTCAAATTATATGTGGATTATGTGGCAGTGCAGTGAAATTAGAATGAATTATATGAAGGAGGAAGTTTGGCATCATGGCTTTCACACAAGGGTTAGGGGTCTTGTCTATATGATTTTATAATCTAATTCATGTTATTACAGCCTGATTCAAGTTATTATATATTGCTCCCTTAAAAGAATATATTTTTGAATGCATACCTTAATTGTGAAATGATTGTAAATAATTTACGATAAACTCTTCTTTAATCTCTCATGATTGTTCTCATTTTGATTGATTTTTCCGAAGTATTAAGATATGATATACATATCAAAAACAAAGCTAGCAAACTTGATGTTCGAAAATACACTCAACTTCATGACTCGAATATTATTGAATTATCAATGACTCAAGTTGAATTGAATGAGAATCATTATGTATGTAGCATTATATTAAAAAGATATGGAAAATATTATGCACACTTGTAAGTCTCGGGGTAAGACAAACTGATATGAAGCTTTGTCAACCCTTTGAATTACCAACAAAGTTCCAATGAAGTGGTGTTGAAACTTTCATTGCTTACAAAATCTTATGACTACATGCACTGGTGAAGTCATGAGAAATGCATGATCTATAACCTTAAATTCAATCTCTACATGCATGTGATCAAAATATATATTCTGATGCTCTAGAACTAAACAAAGTTATTATTGAAATTGATTCGTCCTTAGTTAATACCCTAAGAGTTCCCTTTCACCCACCTCAAATTAATGCAAAGGATATTTGAATTTATTTCCATAAAAGACTTCATATGGTGTAATGCCAATGCTAGTCTTAAAATTATTATTATAAGGGAAGCCCATGATTGGGTTGAAATCTTTCCAACTATCTCTAAAGTCAATAATACGTGTTCATAATAATTATTGTAATGTCTAAAGTCTGATCTCAAACACAAGGCTTTCAACATTTTCTTCCACAATCTATAAGTGAATCATATATCTCAACCTAGCATAATAACTATAAGGATTTAATATAATTGAACAAAGTTATCCATGTAGATATTGGATGGCTTCTATGCTAAATAGTTTTTCTTGATCAAAATTATCATCTTTTGCGAGTTTATCAACTATAACCCAAATTATGTTGTGACTTTATTTTAATCTATACAAGGCAACAATAAAATTCATTGCAAATTCATGAAATTTTCAATATGAGGTTGAAAGTTCACCAGGTATTTCATGTTGATCCTCAAACATCTAATAAGTCTAACACTTTATTGTGAAATCAACCACATCATTCTTCATTTTAGGCCACCCTAAGAACTCCTTGAAATCTTGATATGGTTTCATATACCCTCGATGATCACAATACCTAATAAAATGCACTTTTAAAAATAAATTTTGTCAAAGTCCAACTTAGTTTTAAATACATAATTAATTATTAAACCTCAATGTACATGTTGATCAATAATGAACCTTGGTTTCAATTCACAATCAACTTGCTCCCTAACTTGGCCAAGTAATTTATTTTGTCTGAGTTACATGAATGTAATCCATAACTATTAACTAGATGGTGATGAGGTGTATGATAAAATTGCATCATGGGGGTGCCATCTCAAGCTCTAACTATAGCTATTGTGCAATCATCCGAGTGGCATAAGATAAATATTTTTTGCTCAATGTGTCAACAAACACATTAAGTTTTCCACAATAGTAATAAATATGCAAAATATAATCCTTGGACAACTCACACCACCTCCTTTATCTCTTTGCAAATTTTTTATGGGTAAATATGTACTTCATGCTCTTATTGCTTGTGAAAACTGCAGAATAAACATCATAGAAGTAACGCCTCCAAATAATAAATGCAAAAATAACTATAACTAACTCTAAATAATATGCAGGATAGTTTTTTTTTTAATGCATATTGAGCCATTTAGAAGCATAAGAGACCACTTTACCATGGTGAATTAAGATGTAACATAGACCTTAATGTGAGCATCAATGTAAAAATGAAATCCATTAGTACAAGAAGGAATGATGAGGATATAATCTGACATTAAGCTATTGTTTTAGCTTTTGAAATGTCTTATAATAAGCACAAATCAAATGAATTTAATAGGCTTCAAAATCAATATAGTTAGGGTGTAACGATACTTAAAAAACCTTATATAACTCATTTATAATGGGTAGCTCTACTAAGAAAACTATTGTCATGATCCGCCCCGGAAACTCGAATTAACGAGATGTGAATGAACAATTGAACAACAAAGACATTTTCCACAATTATACATAATCAATAATGACTAATATTCCACAAATACTGAATAATCACTAACACTTCTAGTACATTGAATATGCATTTAAACATAAACCCATTTTACCTACTTTCATTTTATCACGTCTTCTGTAGACATATTCCTCTCCTCTTTCAACCATTTATATTTGTCAAGAGACTTGCCTGAAAGTTAATTTAATAGCGTGAGTTTACTAAGTAAACTCAGTGGATAATCACACTTGAAAACATAGTAATATTTTTACATACATAAAATAAACATATTCAATTGTCTTTCTTTTACATTTACATATGAATTTACATTAATCATTTCTCTTTCATGTGACATATATTCTTTATTTGCATTTATGTTATATTTTTAAATATATTTATCAGTTAGCTTATTCATTTTCACTTTTTCGTTTAGTACAAGAGCATCGTCTAAATGTACCAATAAATGTACAAACATTTACATTTACATTTTCATTTTAGTTTAATGTGCGCGCGTACGTTGATTTCCCATCCAGTACCACACTGAGATAAACTCCTCTAATTTGCATGCATGAATATTTTTTTCCCAAATTATGCTTTCATTTACATTTTATAAATTATTTCATCATTTATTTCATACACACACACACACACACACACACACACACACATATATATATATATATATATATATATATATCACAGTCTCATCCCATCGACTCACTCAATTGGTTGAATGGCCAAGAAGAAATTGAAAGAGGGGAAGAAGAGAGAGAGAGGAGAGAGAAAGTAATTAAATCATATTTTTTAGTCATTCATATTACAAATTTTGTTCTGTTTGTTGTAAGTGACTAATATCTCTCATCTGTTTTATATGATTTGTTTTCTATGAATTTTGTATCTCCTAAATCTGCAAAAAAATACATTATCTTTTGATTTCATAAGCTTTTACCGTGCAAGCTTGGATATATTATAGATTTGATCATTTTGAACGATTTGATATGATTTTATTGCATTTTTAAATGAAGTGTTTAGTGAAATCAGATACATGATATGATAACGCTACGTGATACTCTACTGATCAACGTGATTTACTCATTGAGTTTCATAAGGAGTTGGAGATTTATTGAGAATTATAAGGTGTCGGGGCGATTGATTATGTGATTCAATGGGAGTTATAAAGAGTATATTAATTCAGAGTTATAAGGGGAGACTGATTGAGAGTCATAAGGAGTATATTAAACTTGTCATCAACTACAATCCTCTAATATTTGTCACTCTGACTATAATCCCTTAGACCTTTGTCATCTGGCAATTACGATCTACTAGACCTTTGTCTCCCGATGATTACGATCCCTTCGAGTACAGTTCACCCCTCCTACCTCTTTATTTCTGATATTTTGACTTGAGCTCATGAGTTGAGCCCATGATAGCTCTAACCAGTCGAAGTCAAGCTAGCGTTTGAGAAGTTGAGCTGAATTCGAATTAGCACTAACTAATTTTGAGATCGGCTCGAGTGCTATATATATAAACCACGATACTCACATAGCTTTTTGACCATACATTTTTCTCGATCAACAGCCAAATATCACACAGCCATCTGGCTAAAATCATCACTTCCATCTCCGGCACAGCTTCAATGGATGCTCTCACTATCACCTCCCTGCACTCTCCTTCTTGTTTCTTTCACCCCTTTCCCTCACCTAAATCCTACTTTCCTCGTTTCCGTTTCCACCCCATATCCATTCCATCAAAATCACACCTTTCCCGCCAAAACCTTAAGAAACCCGAGGTCTCCACATCCGATTCCCCCTCCATTGCCATTCCGGTGGTAGATCCTTTTACTTCTGGCGAGACCTCCGGAGAGAAGTTCGATTGGTATTCCCATTGGTACCCATTGGCGCCGGTATGCGACCTCGACAAGCGAGCGCCGCGAGCGATGAGGGTGCTAGGGTTAGACTTGGTGGTCTGGTGGGACAGGGTGGAGGGACAATGGAGAGTGTTCGATGATCGATGCCCCCACCGCCTCGCGCCTCTCTCCGAGGGACGGATTGATCGCTGGGGCCGCCTCCAGTGCGTCTACCATGGCTGGTGCTTTGACGGCTCAGGCAGCTGCGAGCTCATCCCTCAGGCGCCAGAAGATGGCCCTCAGGCGAGTTGTTTATTTATTTTTTCATCTTTTTAGCTTTTTACCGGTCTGTATCTGACTTTCAAATTGTTGAGGGTTGTATGCATGAGGGGCTCTTTAGAGTTTAGATGGCTTGTTAATTGTTAGATTCATCATGGAGGCTAGTTACAACTGAGTCAATGAATCAATTCTTTGGCTGTGAAATAATTAATTCTTATTCTCACTGACCTGTTTCTCACCCTCTTCTCGTCTAGGCTGATTGCTGCCCGTTTTGTACATAGCGGGAAGAGGTAACTAGAACATTGTCAACTCAGATGATAATATTCATTATTTATTATTCTTCTCCTCATCATAAAAGAACAAATGTGAGCTGCACGTGTACTAGCATACACCATTATTATTATCATGTTAGGCTATATAATGTGCCACTTATTGGGAACGCCATAACATTAACATAATGTATCAAAGAATTCTTCCCATGATTATTTGATAAGTTTTATACTGCTTGTCGACTAACTACCACAACCCTCTATTTTTTTATATTTAGGACTTGGGACCTGACAATGACAGTGTTGACAAAAAAAAAGGGTGAGATAAAATACACCACTTAAGTGAAAGGACAACTCTTAAGTGAAAAGTAAAATAGGAAGGATTATGATCGTATATAGTGAAGATTTTTTCTTAGATAGAGATGCCAAATGGATGTGGGATGGAGCTTTTTTGAATGGACTTAAGAAGGTGGGTTAACTAGTACTAATAGAATCGATTTAGGGTATTCTCCTGTGCAATTCGAACTTTGGTCAACTTTGAGAGGTGAGCACAAGATTATGAAGGAACGACATAGTTGAAGATTCAAATTTACTTATCATGGCATATCATAGTTGGTGCCTCGGTCATGTCAACTTTTTTCTCCATCAAAATGAGTTACATGATGCATAAAGGTATTCCACTTCTGGTTTTAAGGTGAAGCCTAACCACAACAATATTAGGTTTGCTTAGATCAACAAAATGACTAATATATTATTCACTCGCTATTTCCTATTTTTTTAATATCACAATCTTAATAATTGATAGATCGAAGATGTTCAAACATATCCTTGCTAGATATGACTTAATATTTAAGCATTTATGAATTATAATTATTAAGTACCTTCATGGACATTGAAATTCAAACATATAACTGCTCACATTTGTTTTATTAATCACGAACCTTTCAACTTTTAGAAGGTTTGCGCTAGGGGTGTAAATGAGTCAATGAGTCATGTTGACTTTGTGCCACAACCAGCTTGAGTTCGAGCTTGATTAATTAACCAAGTTCGAGCCTGAGTTTGAGCTTAATTCGATGAGTTACTGTCACGACCCAACCCGACCGGGACGGTTCCCGCTCGCATCGGGTCGCGACACAACCATTGAAAATCCAGGATCTAGCTTTGGAATTTGCTTCAGAACTTTCTTCTAAATATTAAATAGACAGAAAAACACAGAGCTACTATAAACATCCAAATACAGAACAATTCATCTATCTTTTCTTTCATCAAAACAATCATACACAATACAATCCATGGCTTCAGACAGAAATAACAGAACAGAACAGAAAAGCCATGACTGTACAAAAATCAAAAGTACAAAAAATACATAATCTCATATCAGACATAGAATTTATAGTCCAAGACTTCCTTCCCTTTCCCAGAACCTGAAAACCACGCAGAAAACAAGGATGAGCTAACAGCTCAGCAAGACATCAATCACCAATCAAAATAGTCAGAAACTCACATCAGAAAACGTATCAGAAGAGTATCCGTACAGAAGTCGAACAATCGTACAGAAATCGTATAACAGACAGAACAAATAACAACTCCATCAAAAATCAAACATCGGATACGGAAAGCTGAAGTCATATCAAAATTCAAGTTCAAATCATAGATCATAAAGCTTCAAATCACAGATCAGATAGGATCATACAGAATAACCAACAACGTACAAAACTCATAGCAGAAATAATCACATTACATCTTTACAGAACAAATAATTTCAGAATTGAACTTCTTTCCAGATGTCAGAACTTCCCCTTATATCTCCCTTATGCTTATAGCACCAAAACTTCCCCTTATGACTCCCTTTTTGTGCTTATAGCACCAGAACAGAATAGATATACATAATTTCAGATTTTAAAACTTTCATTTATGTCTCCCTTCTCGGACCCAGACAACGGAATCACATAGGATTCCAGCCCCTTATAACTCCCTTGTGATAGCATACAATTAATCAATTCATTCAATGTACAATCCAGGATAAAAGCAGAATTTGTACGAAAAACCAGCGGCATAACGTTAGTATACGAAATTTACACAAAATTCACAGATTCAAAAATTTACCAAATTACCACAGAACATTCACAACAACATTGTAAGACTTTCATTGTACTGACAAAACATTTTTCAACATCCTGATAATTTGCAGTTCAATTAAAACACCGCAGAATTCAAAATATTCGGTAAAAATCTTCCAGAAAATACTTAAAACGTGCACAATTATCATCTCAGGAACATACCAAAAGTTACGAGGTAAAATCTTTGTCAGAAGAAAATAATACCAGAAATTCGCTAACGGAAACAAAATCCGGAACAGAAAAGTCGTCAAAATCCACTTCGTCACGGACCATCCTGGGAGGAAAACAGCCTTTACAGTTACAGTCAACTCACGAGCTAACTTATTGTAAAAGAGAGAAGATAATTCATATTAAAGTAGATAATATAATAACATATTAAAAATAATAAAAAAAAAATCACTTGGAATAAGGAAGATATAAATTTTAAATATTTTTGGTAACTTTATGTTAAAATTATGAAAATTTACACATTCTAAGTGTTTTATTTTATCATGTTTCAAATGAGCCAACTCACGAGCTGACCAATTGGCAATTGAGTCAGGACTGGCTCAATCTTGGTTAGTTAGCTCATCAAGCTTGACTCATGAGCCATTTATTGAGTCGTGCTCGAGCCGAGTCACATGTTGGTTTGACTCAATTACACCTTTTGTTTCCACCATTTGTTTACCTTTTATCTAATTTTATTATTAGAATTCAAGTTGAAGTGGAGGAATGCATCGGGATTGTTGTGTGATAGAAAAATACTCCTCATACTTAAGGGAAAGATGGTGGTGAGATTTGCAATGCTTAATGGCGTTGAATGTTGGCCATTAAAAGAGAAGTATAAAATTAAGTGTTGTAGGGATGAGGAAGCTGAGATGGATGAGTGGCTTTACCCTTAGAGATTGAATGCGAAATGAGTATATATGTGAATAGGTTGGAGTAGCTCTAGTGGAAAATAAGATTAGAGAGAGCCACTGCCTTAGATGGTTTGATCACTTAAATCGTCGACTTTTTTATGACCAGATTAGGAGAGTATATGTATTATATTCGACCTATGTTAATAAATATAGAGGTAGGCTTGAAAAGACTTGTCTAAAAAGTATTAGAAATGATATATTTTTAATTATATTTAAATGAGAATTTGACTCTAAGTAGGACACAATGAGGAAAAGTTGTTCATATAGCTGACCCCGCATAGTGGGATAAAGGCTTGATGTTGTTGTTGTTCTTTGTTTGTTGTATTTGATCTCACCCTCTACATGTTAGAAATCAAGGCCTTTCAAACTAACTTACTTCACTTTCTCTCTTTTGGATCCTTCGGTCATGTCTCCTAGTAGGAACCATGGCAACCAATTTCATGCTCGTTGATGTTGCTTGATTCAACAGTCCAAAGAGGAAAGAAACCAAACCTGATCCCTTCTCCTCTTTTGGATTTTTTGGCAAATTACAAGATACACCTCATTCTTGGCCTATAATAAGGAAATTAGAGGTACAATAAGATGAATTCAGATGGTAGAAGCATTGGAGGACACTCAGCCAGAGGAGAAAAAAGGGTTATGATGTGTTTTCCAAAACGGATTGTCTCCTCATATTCTAATGGTAATATCTTTTCATATTTCTTAGTAAATGTTATGTTTTTCTCTTATGTTACCAATCTTTTGTGCATATTCATTTATTTGGTCATATTCACACTCCTTTAATAAATTTAATTAGATTCACCTGATAGGATACTTTATAGATTGGGAGGCATTGTGTGATCTATTTACATTGCTTTAGGTAGTTGGACGAGAAAGTCACTTTTCTAAAACCTACATAGGATAATTAGGTGCATACTTGCACATCAAACCCAAAGATTCCCTTCACCTAGGAAAAAATTGTTTTGGTTTACATATGTAAAGGGGACTTTTGCAATTAAGTTTTTGTTTTATGCAATTTCAAGTTTTTGTAATCTAAGAGTAGAGTAGCCCTTGGATGTATTGTTAGAGGAGTTTGATTCTTTTATGCCCGCAACTTTGAGAAAAAAGATGGAAATGATTCCTTGACTATCTTTATGGGGTCATTTTTATCTGAGCTATCCAATATATTCAATTTAATTCCTTGATTCTTAAAAATATGATAAAAACTATTTTGAATTAGATTTGAAAAGTTGAGGGATTAGGGGATTAAATTGAACACATTAGATAGTTCGAGATTAAAATGTCCCTTTATAAATTGTTTAGAGATTATTTTGACATCTTTTATGCATTATAGTACTGTTATGGATATAAAGTGATAACATAGGAAAATGACAAAATAAAAATTTGATAGAAAAATATAGAAGAATGGTGTCTTTATAAATTTTTTTAATATTTGATGTATAATAAAATAATTTGAACATACAATATAAGAGATAAAAAGCAGGTATAGATTGATAAAAATGAATAGGAAAGATTAAGAAAACCTCATATTTGAAAAGGAAGATACCTCACACAGAAGGTTTTAGATATCGCTCTTGAGCACCGATCAAAACCTTGAAGTAGATTAAAGTAAGAATGGCCTTCACATCTAAAATAAGATTTATTAACGCCCCCATATTTCTTTAATACCTATAATACATCTATTTGCAGATGCAAAAGAAATTACAACCTTATAAAAATTATTTATAAATTACTAATAAACTGCAAATTGTTTCCTTAACCTAATGAATTGCTAACAAGCTATGCTCAAACTTAATAACATAAAATAAATAACCCCAACAAAAAGAAAGACCATGAAGTCCACCCTAATGGAATGACTCAAGTGGCCATGATGAAATAAACATTCATATTTTTCGTTACTTCAATACAAGTCTTTCCAACCTTTAAATCTGATGCAAGCAAAAATTTGGGAGAAGGCCCCAATTTTTTGCTAACAAAAGAAAGCTCTACTAGGTAATAGAAAAGACACAAAAGGACACAAAATAGACGAATAAACTAAAAACAACAACTTTTTTTCATAATATAAAAGACTTACAAACTTGACTCAAACAAAACAAGACTCTTACAAACTTGACTCAAACAAGACACCCTAAACTTGCTTACTTTGAGAAGAGGGATACATGTGAGGTGGTCACTTGCGGAGAGACGAAACAGGTTAGAAGCCAAGACGAAGGGCGGAAAGAGATCGCAAGATTTCTAGAGGAGGTGAAAAGAAAAAGTGGACAAAGCTCGCAAGCTTTTCCAACAAAACCCGCAGGTTTACATTTCCAAAAATCATTCACATAACATATTCTAAACAACCCAAAACATCTCTATTTATAGGCACAAAAGAAGGAATACAAACAGCACCAAAAACCTTTCATATTCTATATTAAATGAGGGAGATGAAAAGCCAACAATCAACACTAAAAACAAAGCATTAAAACCACGGAAACACCCCCCCATCAGCCACAGGAAAGTAGCCCAGGCGGAACCCGAAGAGGCAGCCGCAAGAACCAAGGAGGCCTGCATGGAACCGAGGCACCAATGCACGGGAAAGGGCACCCAGCATGGAAAACCAGCAGCCAACCGGGGAAACCAAGGAGCCATGGCACAAAAAATAGCCACCATAGGGATTCCAAAAGCCATTTTGTTGGAATCCCAAGGGACAAACACAGAATTTTAAAAAATAAAACTATAAATAAAAAGCTACATAAATGAACTAAAACCTAGCTAATAATGAGCTAACCTTTAGTTCAATAAATGAACTAAAAACCAGCTCATAAATGAGCTAAATTCCAGCTCAAAATTTATTGAGCTTGTAAGCTCAAGGGAAGTCAAAACCAACTCATTTTGGGTTTGAGTTGACCCCCCCTTTGCCTACATCAGACTCCCCTTCTTAAGAACTCATCTCCTGATGAGTTAACTTATGATTTGACTACCAAGACTCAAAACTAACATGAAACTAAGACTCACAAGACTCACAAGATTTACAAGACTTACAAAACTTGATTTGACTTGACAAACTGACTCTCAAACCTAGGACTTCCTAACTTGCTCTGATACCAAATGATGCAAGCAAAAATTTGGGAGAGAGCCCTAAATTTTTGCTAACAAAAGAAAGCTCTACTAGGTAATAGAAAAAATACAAAAGGATTCAAAATAGACGAATAAACTAAAAACAACAACTTTTCTTCATAATATAAAAGACTTACAAACTTGACTCAAACAAGACAAGACTCTTAGAAACTTGACTCAAATAAGACATCCTAAACTTGCTTATTTTGAGAAGAGGGATACAGGTGAGGTGCTCACTTGCGGAGAGACGAAAGAGGTTAGAAGCCAAGACGAAGGGCGGAAAGAGCTCGCAAGATTTCCAGAGGAGGTGAGAAGAAGAAGTGGACAAAGCTCGCAAGCTTTTCCAACAAAACCTGCATGTTTACATTTCCAAAAATCATTCACATAACATATTCTAAACAACCCAAAACATTTCTATTTATAGGCACAAAAGAAGGAATACAAACAACCCCAAAAACCTTTCATATTCTATATTAAATGAGGGAGATGAAATGCCAACAATCAACACTAAAAACAAAGCATTAAAACCACGGAAAAGCCCCCCCCATCAGCCACGGGAAAGCAGTCTAGGCGGAACCCGAAGAGGCAGCCGCAAGAACCAAGGAGGCCCACACGGAACCGAGGCACCAAGGCACGGGAAAGGCCACCCAGCACGGAAAACCAGCAGCCAACTGGGGAAACCAAGGAGCCATGGCACGGAAAACAGTCACCATAGGGATTCTAAAAGCCATTTTGGAATCCCAAGGGACAAACACAGAATTTTAAAAGATAAAACTATAAATAAAAAGCTACATAAATGAACTAAAATCTAGCTAATAATGAGCTAACCTTTAGTTCAATAAATGAACTAAAAACCAGCTCATAAATGAGCTAAATTCCAGCTCAAAATTTATTGAGCTTGTAAGCTCAAGGGAAGTCAAAACCAACTCATTTTGGGTTTGAGTTGACCCCCCCTTTGTCTACATCAAAATCAGTGATGAACAACCTTCTTTTTAATTAATAAGAACTAAAGTCTCAAATTGTTCTATAATCATCAAGAGAGGTTTTTGCACGTTTTAATGCTAATCGAATCATCTATACATACCCAACTATAGAAGCCCACACAAAGTAATGAAAACAGAGAAAATTTCTTTCTTCAAGCTTCCATAATGTTGATGTATATTGAATAACATTTAATAAGAGATTATTTGTCATTGCAGGTTCATACTTCTGGCAAAGCTTGTGCAGCTAGTTACCCTTGTTGTGTTCAGAATAAGATAGTGTGGTTTTGGCCAAGGACGGAGCCTCTATACAAAAATATATTGATGAAGTGCAAACCTCCCAGTATCCCTGAACTTGATGATCCATCATACGCCAGTTCAATGGGCATTCGAGATATGTCCTATGGGTAATATGGTGCTAAAATTTTCATTATCTTATACTTTCCATGCTTACAGCTCCTGCAAATCAGAAATGGTTATAAGATACTTTTTCTAGCCAACATTACAACCCAAAATTTATTCACCCTTGCGGAAAAAAACACCCTGGTTAGCATTCTGAAATATTCAAGCAATGTGTAATAGGGTCAAATATGCTGATAGCATTGTCAACTAAAAATAAATTCATCTTTTCAAGCTTTGCTTAGGAATTATCTGCCTTCATTTTCAAGATCTAGCGGCAAAGGATTTCAATTAAGTGGTACTGATTTCAGTTCATTTTAATCATTCCTGCCCTCATTTGTTGTGTAAATGCGAAATTTTCCATGTCATGCTGGGTTCAATGATCATACTATGTGTTATCAGGGTTTAAGATCAAGTCATGCCAAGGTTTATATTAAAGGAATCATATTTTGAGGAAGCTTGTATGGTATGTAAAAGATCATGTTATCAAACATGAGATTTTTTTTGGTTCTTTATATATCAATGATTAAGAAAAAAAATTGCATACAACTCTGATTGATAGGTTGCGTATTGTCTGCTTGACAGATTGATATGGCTTAGGCAAGGTTGTGAAAATCAGACCGGATAATGAACCGGAAGAATGAGAGGTTCATGGTTCGACTCGTAATAAATATTAATTTTATTTAAATATAACATAATTTACATAATAATGATGCAATCATATAAAAAAATATGGCTGAAAATTAAACAGAATAAATAATCATGAAATATAAAGCATGAAAGAATACTTATTTTAATTGAAGACATAAAATATCGAGAAAAAAGTAATAGTTCTCATTCAATTGTTCATATCATTTTACAAAAAAAATTTATAACTCAAAACAGTCATGGTGATTCTAATAATCATCCCCTAAATTTATGTGATCAAATGATGGGTTTATTTGATCATTATATTATTATTTGAGTTCTCATTTTCATATTTTGGATTTGTGTCTAAGAGAAGTAAGCTTTTGAGTATTTAGTGATCTTTAACCTTCAAATTTTAAATTCTCTTGCATGATCTATATTCATTGCATCATTTCTATTACATTAGGAGACCTAAAACCTAAATTGTCCTACTTCAGATTATTATTAGAGCTTATGATTACATTATCATGTTAGGTTCAAGTTGGATATTTAATTGAGTCAATTAAAAAAAAAACAAAGATGCAATTTAAGCAAAGTTTTGTAAATTACAGTTCGAGACTACTGCAACGTGATCTTTGTGACTCATTTGTAGTAAATTAAATATCCCTTTGCCCCTCCCTCTCTCTCCAATTCAATTAATCCGCATTAATTCCCTTCCATTAATCTCTCCACTCATTTGGGAATTCTTTTATTTTATTTTTTTACTCCTCTTCCCTCCTACCTAGCCGACGCCCCTCCTCTTGCTTCCCCATCTTCTGAACCTTAACTTTCTCACCAAATAGTTCATCTTCCTAGTCCCTAATCTCCCACAAAGTGCTGTCCAGATTTTTTTGGACATTCAATATTGCTTTCCAGAAATTTCAGCACAAGAGAACTAGCCAATCCACGACCCAAATATCCCTAAGTGCTGCTCAGAAAATTTCCCACAGCTAAGCAAAGTCCTGAGATCCAATGCAAGCTAATTTGCTGTCCAGACGTCCGGAATCGGTCCAAGTTGCTGCCCAAACATTCTGAAGGTGCTAGGTTGCTGTCCAAGACAAGTGAAGAGGGTGCGTGTTGCTATCCTCTCTTTATCGGCTCCCAAAACAACTTCATCGAAGCCTATTATATTCTTCCTTTGGGTAAACTCTTTCCTTTTCCTTTTACCTACTTATTCCCTCTCAATTGTGGCATCATAAAGATTGTGCAAACTTTTCCGCAAGCCAATTTATTAAGAGTGTGAGTGGACCCAACTAGTGACTAGTGTAAGTGTTAATTTAGGGATTTCCTTTGGAACTCCCAATGTTTTGCTAAGCTTGATTGATTTTATTCATGTATGATTCTAAACGATTATCATGTAGTTTGGCCTAAGCTACATCATCCTTCTTATCGTATTTAATCTCTGTTTAGATTGCTGTAAATTTGGATAATTATTGTAGCTCTAATCTAAAGGCGTTAATCTCAACATTGGATATTTGCATATACACATAATTTCTACATCACTTATCCCTTGATCCATGAAGTTCTTTGATTTTGGCCTCAATTTGCAGTGTTAATCACTTCCACGCTACACATGCTTGTTGATTTTCCTCCATGCCTTTATGCTCGCTACTAACATTTGTTGCTCTTGTTGGATTCCTTCAGTTCCATCTGCTGTTAACATTTCTATAATCCTGTTTATTGAATTTCTGTGTATCATTGAGCTCTCAGCTTAATGAAGCTTAATTAATCCCGTGATTCCATAAAGCACATACTTTGGTTTCAGAGTTTTCTGTTTGAATATTGAAAAAACCATTTCCAGTACCCTAGTTTCATTGAAGACATATTACAATATCTCGTGATTTTTTTTTGGTTCTCATTGGAGATTACGTTACATCGTAATGTTCTTTTCTTTTTTTCTCGTATGGTTTACTTTCAGCTTAGTTTTTTGCTTGTTGTAATGTTTTGGCCTATTTTTTTAAACCTGGCATTGCTAAATGAATTGTTTTATCTTTCAGGTACGAAGTTCTGATAGAAAATCTCTTGGACCCTGCTCATGTACGATATTCACACCACAAAATAATGACAGTTTCTAAACAACCGTCATCGCTTACCAGATATGCACTTCTTAGCAAATTATTATATTATATTTGATCTACTTGATGTTCTTTGAATGATTTTATAAATGCAGTTTATTCTTTTTACTTTTTTGCTCTGTTGACCGGCTCTGTATTGTTTTTTTTTTTTCTAAAATACAGAAATTCCTTTCTTCCACAGATCGTGAAGGAGGCGTGCCTATAGTGATAACAGTAGAGGAATCAGATATTAATGGCTTCCTTGCAAAGCAGGAATTTGGATATGGCAAGTTTGTTGCTCCTTGTTTAGTTCATATGTTCCCTGGCTCTGGTTCTAATATTGGATCCGCTTCATCTTCAGACAGCAAAGCGGTAGCTATTTAGTTTTTTTTTTTGGTTTTATTCTGCCTAATTTTTTAATGTCTTTTTTCCTTTAATTTTCTTTAACTTTGGTAACCGTTAATCACCTACATTACTGCAGGGTCAACGAAAATTTCATATCATTGTCTACTGCATTCCAGTTAGTCCTGGAAAAAGCAGATTGATTTGGTCCTTTCCAAGAAATTTTTCTGTTTGGATTGATCAAATTGTTCCACGCTGGATGTTTCATGTTGGACAAAATTTAATCCTTGATTCTGATATGCACCTCCTCCATGTAGAGGTAACGCTAATATGCAGCTTAAATTATGATTGCGATAGAAATCAAAGCTTGTTTTGCTAGTTAGTCAAGTGGACTAATTATTATTTGAAGAAGAAATTAGATACCTTAAATCCAATTTTTTATTTTTAGATCATTATCATAAGGTCAATTTTGTTTTGTATTTGGTAATCCTATCACTAAACCGATGTAGATCAAATTCTTGTTATTTTAGTATAGATCTCGATTAGAATGAAGAGCTGGTTGGTGACCTTGCTCTTAAAATTGCAGAGCTTAAACAAAGGTTGTCATCCACACTTGGTGTGAGCAGTCGCATAAAGCCTGTGGATGACTTTTATCATTCATATATATTTGCAAATATATAAACATAACGGATTACTTGTGGCCTATTTATATAATATAATATGTATTAAGTGAACCACATAGTCCATAGGCTTTTACCCGGGCAACAGGAGAAGCCTTGATAGATTTTAGGTCCAGTTACCATCACAACTCGCTTAGCCCTAGTTCTGAGAAGACTAAGCCTCACTCATCTTTTCATGTGGTTTAATCTAGCTGAGACTTGTTTAATAAATTTGGTTGTTATTATTGTCGACTCAATTTTGTGAGAAGTATATAACCAGGCTGTTCCCCTCTTATGGATTGATCTTAATGGCTGATTGTAGGTATTGAAAATAATTTAGGCTAAGATTTGGTTCACTTGATTCCATATGGTTGTTGGTATTGAGTTTATGTGAATCTCTTATGGAATCGTCTTGAAACTTGGGTTGATTTTATTTCATAACTAATATATAGTGAGAATCTTTGGTTTTTGTTTGCACCATCACATCTCTCTTGTTTCCTCGATTGAAATACCCTTGTCTTTTAGTTTTTTTTTTTTTTTTTTTTTTTTTTTTTTTTTTTTTTTTTTTTTTTAAGGATTTTGTTGGCTTTGAGATGCATATGCGAATGTAAACTTTTTGAGGTAAAGCTATTGTGAATTTTTCGTAGGTTTTCTTCTGTCTTTTGAGCGTAGGTGTACTTGGGATATTTGAAAGGTTGGTGAGACTGTTGGGCGAGATGAGGAGTAAACACCATAATGACAAAACAAGCAAAAAAGTAAAAACAGCGAAAATAAATGACACCAGGATTTAACGTGAACAAAATTCAAAATAAGGAAAAAACTACTAAGCTGCACCACACAAAAAAAGTTGGATTGTTGTTTTGTCTTATGGGGTGTTACAGAACTCTAGCTCGATGTACTTTGCGGTTGGATTCTTGTTGTCTTATTCTCTGCATAGCTGGCTTAACCTAAAAAGCAGCTAAAATTTAACTTGTAAGGTGTGATAATAACTACTTATTAAGAATTGTTCAGATCATCTTTCTTATGCATCCTGGTCACATTAGCCACATGATAAGGTCTCAAGGTTTGAGCATTTCATGAAAAAAATTTAGTTATTTTATTCTCTTTGGTTTATTTTAGAGATCTTTTATAATGTTAATGATGTGTTACGAGTGAACATTGATCGTACCTTCATCTTCCATTGGTCAAAATCTGGATTAACAGGAGCGAATTATTGCTGAGATTGGCCCTTCCAACTGGGAAAAAGCTTGTTTTGTGCCAACTAAGTCGGATGTCATGGTTACTGCCTTCAGAAGATGGTTTAAAAAATACTCAAGCTGTCAAGTTGACTGGGCAAACAAGTCTCTAGGCTACCTACCTCCAACTCCTCCTAGAGAGCAACTTCTGGACAGGTATTCTAAGCAATGTCGAACATTTTGTTCAGCACTTTACATTCTCATACATCAGGACACTATTGCAGATAACGCATTTTTTTTTTCTTTGAAAAGCTAGAGCATTTTCTGGGTGCTTCGTATATTATGTCTATACATTTTTTTGAGCTCTCGAGGGATGTTAGACGCATAATAGGAGCGTTGGGTTAGGATATTGTCCAAATTTTAGGGCATCTCCAGGCGAACTCCAAACGATTGTAAGACGTAAGTTGGTTTGCTCCATTCAAATGACAAAAAAATCGCTAATCCGTGGAGGGTGAACAGTGCGATGCCTTCACCTATGCGATTTTTCTGCTCAACCGGATTTGTCGAAGAAACGCGCGAAAGAAGAAAAATACGATCACCTTCGCAGAAGCGCGCAAAATGGAGTTCGACCGGAGATGAATTATGACATTTTTGAGTTTCACAGCATTTTGGAGTGAAAAATAGAATTTTCGGTTGGAGATGCCCTTAATTAGGTTGAGTTTAAATTTTTATTTGATTTTTTTTTTAAAATTGGTGCAATACTAAAAATATTTATATATTACATTCACCCAAAGCAATTCTAAATATTATAAAATCCATCCTGGCATCCTCATCTGATTTTTTTTCCAAAATATTATAAACAAGTGGTATCACTCTAGTTTAATTCTACACTTAATCAATTTTATTATAAATTATCCTTTCATTCTTCATTTCTACCACTCTTTTTTTATTTTACACACTTCAAGTGTTATTAAGGCTTCGTTTGGGACGCCTTTCTTACTGCTTCTTAAAGCAGATTTCTAGTATAAAAATTGAGTATTTAATCCTATTTTTTTTATCAAATTTTATGCAGAAGTCTCTATTATAAGTATAATAGATGTTAATTTTTAACTATAAAAAAATTTAATAGTCATGTCCAACCTGCTTATGGTTCTTGTATATTTCAAAAAGTATGTTATTTGTGTCTCTAACTTTGCTTTCATCTACCACATCCTTTTTCTCTGATATTCTCTGAAGTTATCATTCTGATTTCTGTCAGGTATTGGACTCATGTTGTGCAGTGCAGAAGCTGTAGCTTGGCTTTAAAGGTGCTGAGAGTAGTTGAAGCTTCTCTTCCAATTCTTTCATTAATTTTGATCGGAGTAGTGGCTGCTTCCAAAGCAAGTGTAATGTCTGCAGCAATAAGAACTGCAGTTGTCTCCATGGCAGTGCTCCTTTTTGCAGCTTCCAGGTGGCTCTCCCACTTTATATACAAGACCTTCTATTTCCATGACTACAACCATGCTTTCATCTGAATCAGAAGCTCCAGTTCTCTCTTTCTCACTATCACATTGTAAGTAAAAGGAAATCTTCTTTGTTAAAATATTCTTATTTGTGTATATTTATATCAAATGTAGCGTAATTTGCCAATGATAGGTTTTTGAATCATTCAATATATGCATGTCAATGGTGATCGTCATATTTAGCATGAACAAGCACATATATCACTATTTGGATGTGATGGGAGTAGTTTTACTTATGCAGTTAGTTGAAGGAGACCCTAAAGCGATTAGTTTGGTTAAATTTGCATTATAAGGGCATCTTCAACCGAAAAATTCATTTTATACTCCAAAATGCAGTAATTCAATTGCAAGAACTTCATTTCTTTCTCCTCTTTCGCACACTTCATCTTGCTGTGAAGGTAACTATCTTTCTCCTCTTTCGCGCGCTTCTTCAGCAAATCCCGTAACAAAAAAAAAAAAATTGACGTAGGTGAATAGTGCGATGCCAATATTGGCGTCGCACTGTTCTCTTACCAAATTTTGGTGTGAGATTTATCATTCAAATGGAGCGAATAACGGATGACATATCACTGTATGTAGTTCGGTTGGAGATGGTCTAAGCGAGTGGTATGGATTTCTCTTATGTGGTTAATTGTGAAGGCATTAATTCATTGCTTTCAAGTTGGAACGTACAAAACATTGATTTTGTTGATTTCCCATCACTCTTTTTAGCTGATTTTTTTTTTTTTTAATATCGATGAATTAATGCTCATGGATCGGCTCATATATGTAACCAAACAAGTTTGAACTAGTTTTTAAATATTCGATTGTTAAATAAACAAATATGAATAACTGTGTTCTAACTCATTTATATTCATGAATAATATCATTTAAAACTTGTGAACAAGTTCGATAAAAAGCTCGTTAAGAAGTTTGTTTAAATTTTTATTTTGTATATTTTTACATAATTTTTAGTTTTATTATAATGAATTATTCTTGTTATATAAAAAATTAATAACATCTTATTTATACAATTTCATTATAATGAATATGTTCATTAATAAGAGGTATTTATTCATGTTTGTTATATTTTTTATTTAAAGTGTTTATGAACAAATTTGTTTATAAAATAAAATAATTTTACGAGCTTATTTGTAGATTGAAATCACTATCTATATATGTTTGCGAACGACTCTAAATGATTGTTTGTTACTAGGATCGATAAGACTCGTTTGTTTAAAGTTCGATAAGTATAAACAAGATGAATATGAACCAAATATAGTTCAAATATAAATATTTATTCTTTTAAATGATTAACTAATATTAAAATATTAAAGTATTTCTTATTAAATTTCATTAAATGTGATTAGGGATTATTTAGAGCTATAATGGAGAGCCTTTTAAGTACAGTAATTTATCTCAATATAATTATTTATTTATGTGATTGATTATTTAATTTAGTATAATTGAGATTTTATTAGCATATAATTTTTACAATGAACCTTAAGATAATCAATTAGTAGATTAATTGGCTAGAGTGATTGGTAATTAAGGAATTATTTAGGTTTGTTGTGGACTAGAAAATACGCGGCGATAGAGATTTAATTCTGCGTCTTAACGTTGTACGTATAACTAGCTCACACACAGAGAACACAAGATTTTTTACGTGGAAAACCCTTAAAAAGGGAAAAACCACGAGGCCTAGCCCAGTTGAAAATGATTCCACTAGACTTTGAGTTGGTTACAAAGGACTGAATCACCTCCAAGGGTGATCAGGTTACAATCAGTTACTTAAGTAAGACGTCAGGTCTTTGGGAAGACGTAGGGACTGAATGTCGGGTCCTAAGTAAGACGTCGGGTCTTCAGTAGGACGTAGGGACTGAGTGTCGGGCCTTGAACAGGACGTAGGGACCGAGTGTCGGGCCTTGAACAGGACGTCGGTTCTTTGGCAGGACGTCGGGTCTTCCACTAAGAATTTGGCCAAAACCTGTGATGATTCTTTCGGGAAACATTAAGCCATTATCGTGAGCATTCATGGCAAAACATTCTATGCTTCTGTCTCATCTTTGTATAGCAGCCTGAAAGCACAAGTAAAGCGCCGCAAGTAAATGGAGCGCAGAAAAGCGCAGAAAAGGCGCAACTAAGGCACAACTATACAGACAACTATAGGCGCAACCTTTTAGCAACCGTCATACGCGCAATAATATCCAACAAGGTTCAATTTTTTTTTATCTTTATCATCTTCCGATCCTAAAATCAATAACTGCCGAAAAGCTAAGCAACAACAAACACTTAGAATTTTTTTTTTTTACTTTTTCGACATTCAAGAAATTATTCCCTTGCTCTTACAAAATGTCAAAAATAAAGAACACTCCGCTAAGCTAATGAGCTGAAACCTACGTCTTCTTTTCTGCGGCGACTGATAAGTTAAAAACTAGACTGTTTAGACCAACTTTCTAACTCCGTTTGTCTTGCCAAGAAACTTATGCGGTATGGCCTAGATTGAAACCCCAGATGGAATTTTCCGGGCTAAGTTAGGTTTCCGATTCGACATTCAAAATCGGGCACCAGCCGCTTCTGATTCATGCATGCCTGTTCGATTCAAATGGCACTCGCCCTCTTACCGCACTCCTCTTTCGTGAGCCAGCCTCCATTTCTTATTCTGCGAATTGTTAATTGGGTCATTTTTTCTTCTACAGCAGTTACGCATATTTACGTTTTATGCGCGGGCACAGTATCAAAATGAAAACAATAAGGGCAAGTGTTTAGGATAGGAGGAACCTTCAGAAAAGATTCTAATAAGTAGCTGGTATTAAAAGTTTGCGAAAGATATATTTGGAGGTATGTCTGTTATCTATTTGCGCTCTTTGGTTGTCTCGGATGTTTTCTACGTTTTTTGTGCTGTTTATGAGGTCTAGTGTGATTAATTGCTCGTTTTAGTGAAGCTTGTTGCTTCATTCTAATATATTATATGAAATATGCCTAATGCATTTTCATGTCCCCAGGTATTTGTTCTGTCCGCGTTCTTCTTGGTTTGTGTTAGCAAGTCTTGTTTAATTCTGCACGCATATCTGGCGCGTGTTTAGTTCGTGTGTTTTTTTATTTTTTTTTTTGTAGGCCGGATGGAGGAGGTGTGGGGGCTAGGAGGAGGATTGACGAGTTGCGTCCGACGTTGAGAGGAGAGAGAGAGAGAGAGAGGAGAAGAGAGAGAGAGGGAGAGAGAGAGAGAGAGAGAGAGAGAGAGAGGAGAGAGAGAGATGAGAGAGAGAGGAAGGAGAGGAGAAGAAGAGAGAGTGGAGAGTGGCAAGTGCAGGAAGAGTGAGAGAGGGGGATGGCCAAAGGATTTTGAGAAGGAGGCATGTTTCTTTCGCTCCATTTAATCGGAAGGGCAGCGTGTTTGGAAATAAGATTTGAGAACAAGCCCAATGCGCTAAGGAGCCAGCGCATTCAATAAATGCGCGCAACTGAGTGGCGGCATTCTTTGAATGCGCCAATCAAATTGGGCGCATTGGCAGAGTGATGCGCCTATATTCCAGCGTATTCTTTTAATTGGTGTCGTGATTTTGGGCGCTGAATGGGATTGTAGCGTATTCCTGGGTGTAAAGTCTTTTCCTAGTATTTATGGGTCTTTTCCCTAGGATTTACGTCGATATCGCAATATTAGATTGTGCGTAAGTGGTGTCAGTGAGGAGAGCTCACGTTGGAACCGGGATTAAAGACCGCATATTTCAACAAGAATTGTTATCATTTTAATGTAACAAATTAAATGGCAACACAATTTGAATATATTAAGCTTATTTTCTTAAATTTATTTTGAAATGAACCTAAAGTAAAAATCGTAATGTGTAAAAAATTTAAGTAATGATCTAGTTTAATATCCTAATTGAAATATTTAATGAAATTAATTGGTTTGATTATATTTTGATATATAAAGTCAATTTTCTTTGATATAAGTTATTTATAATTTATGAACCGTTTTGATATCTAATAGACTCATTTAAAGTATTTGTAATATATAATTTGATTTAATTAGATATAGATACAATCGGGTATTATTTCATAATTGTAGTTTAATGAATGTTAGTTGTTGATTAAATTTTGGAATGATATTAAGTTTTTTTTGGATGTGACATACAATTTTGAACTTTGTAACAACCTCAACGTTTTGTTTGTGAATGTTCTTATTTAAGTTTGTAAGGGTTATTTGTATTATTTTTTTAATAAATTTAATTTGTTAATGTTTGTTTTTTTAAAAAAGAGAAATATTTTATCATATTGAAATAAAATAGATAATATTTTTTTTTTTAGCATTTTCATTAAAAATACCTTTAAATCACTTGTTAGTACTGATCAATGAAAATGTGAGAAAAATGAACATATGATATATATGTAAGGCACATTAATATATTTGTTAAAATAGAGAAGGTTTTTGAATAAAAGTGTATTTGATATGAATTAGAGAATTTTGATGAGAACATGTTAGTGGTGTGAAATTTTAAATATAATTAATAAAGTTTAGGAATAGAAATGTAAATAATTTATAAAAAATTGAACTCAGAGGTAATGGTTTTTTCTCATAAATATCATATTTAAATTTGGAATAATGTGTTAGTATTCTAAGCAACGAGTTAATGTTAATACGCATAACGGGGTATATTGATTGAAAGGCATATTGAAAAAAATATTGTAGTGTGGCTAGATACAGATGCGCGATACGTGGCTTGCAGCTGCGGGTTAAAGTTGGACAGCATAAGAATTTTTCTGTGAACTGGATTGGTGGATAGAGGTTTGAAAATCTTTGCCTAGTTTAAGACTCCTTTTTTACCAATATACAGATATTCAGCTCTTGATATATTTCTGATAGTAAATGCTTTTGATAGGATGCCATACTTTTGTAAATGAAATAGGCAATGGTTGCAGGGCATCAGAGGGTGGTTGGATTCCTCAACATGACGACGACAAAAACCATCTTTTGTGTGCGTGGTGATTTTTCACGAACAAGTTCTTGTTGTAAGAATACTTATAGGTGTAAAGATGACTCATTATGATCCCTAATCTTTGTCGTATAAATTTCTCAACCCATTCAGTAGGATTTGTTGTCTTGCCATTCCACATACATTGGATGATGAGTTTTTGATAACTTCATCGAATATTACATCCTATAATTATGGTTTCCGCTCATACCAGACATTCATAATAGACAACATCGAAAGGTTGTTCAATTTGGCTCTTGTTTTTCCTCCTCCAAGAAATCATCGCATGGGATATGAAAACATAGAATTTGCAAATTCGAATTTGTATCATCATAGATCAACTTCTTTTCTTGGAATAATATGTAGGAAATCCCTTGAATGGTGAGCGCTTGATTGATGAGGTTCTTGAATGATGATGACATGATATGCTGAATATTTTAGGAAATGCAAGTGAGTATTCATTAGAAATATGATATGAAATTAATTTTTTTAAAAGAATGAAATTTAAACATTAACTCGATCATAAATAATAGTTTTTCAGTACAATAGGAAAATAATCTAAATAGTACTCTTTCTTAACACTAAATTTATTTAAAAAAAAAAAACACAGAACGCATAAAGTTTAAGGTTTTCGCTCTCGTTCTTTTAAAATACTTACAATTATTAAATTTAATCAAAAACTGGTTCTTTTGGCATCTACCGACTGTTTTCTTAAATGTTTTCAAAGTACAAATTTCTCAAATAATAAACACTTTTAATGCTTTTTTACACCAAGTCGAAATCAAGTATTTACGTGTTTGGTTTTTTAAACCGAAATCTCCCCATCTTTATTTTCTTCTTAATTATTTATAAAACAGTCGGTCAAGGGGAGAGCCAAGGCTAAGCGAATTCCAATATAATATCTTAATCCATCTAACAAAACAATAAACCATGATGAAAATATTAAAGGTGTCCCGCAAAATAAGCTCTCGACGCATAATTACAAACTTTAAATATAAACAAAATTTTAACTCCCAACCCCCTACAATGAACATACAAAAAGGCTCATAAATGATTCAACAAGCAAAATAATTAAAACTACGGAATACAAAACTTTTTCTGTCAAAATAGCATGAACATTTATATAAATTATAAACTTGCAAAACTATCAACAAGATATACAAATATAATACAACAAAAAGTAAAGAATGAACCTTCTCTTACCTCTTGAGGATTAGTAGAAAGAGCTTAATCGTGCCTTCTCCCCAGCACTCCCGGGCTTTTATAGCCAGTTTCTTATTATTCCCCAACCCCCTCAATACTCCCCGCGCACTGAATGCCCACCAAACCCAACATCAACCACCGCCGGAATCAGTGCGGAATTTGCGGATTTAGGGGAAACGACAGTGCCAAGAAAAAACAATAGAATGCGCCGGCTATATAGGCATTCTAATGAATTACGCCAGAATGTTTCGGCGCATTCTTCAAGAAGGCGCTGAACATTACGCCGCATTCATATAGATACGCATAAACATAACGCGTACTCTTATCAGAATGACGCTCTTTGTTATAAGGCGTATTCTTTTAAATACGTCATTTTAATGGCGAGTGCTTGCTTCTCAAATTTTTTGAGACACCACGCTGCATTCTCTAATAACGTCATCACCGTGGCTGCTCCGAAAATTTAGCCGAGGAGATATCCTGAGGGGTGTAGAGAGGAGAAAGGAATGTATAAATAACAAATTATAGAACTTTAAGTGTTATTATATAAAAAGTGGTATTCTATGCAATATTTTATAAATTTATTTTAATTTATGGTTAAATATCAATTTCAATAATGTTATTTTAAATTATTAATTTTAATGTAAGATTAAAATATAAAAAATTGTATATTATAATATTGGTTGAGTCATAGACTTTAATTTAAATATTATTTTTCATAAGAGATATAGACTTATTTTATATTTTAATTATTATTTTATTTTTTAAAATTTTATTTTTTAATATTTTTTATATATATCTTGCAATTTCTTGATCAGGGCACGATCTCGAACAAAAATCAGTTGGAACTTTAAAAGTTAATCCGAGGAGCATCTGAACTCCGAATTATCAGCAACTTTATAGTCAACTGAGCCGCTCAGGAATACAAACCCAACGACACTAAATCACTCAATCTGAGCCCAAATGAGTCCCAAACAAGGACCGAAGTCACTGTTGGAAGTTCGTACGCAACAATTCGAGTTACCAACGGTCCTAACCGGAATTTTGACGAGCTTCATATCGAATCGAGACGAATACAAACGATGCCCAAGATCTCGAATTCCAAAGTCATCCAAGACTTCAAATACTGACTAATGATCCACGTCGAAGGATTCAATATTAGGCGTTCATTTTAACCCACTCCATACTTGCCCATGATCTCTCATCAAATTTACCAGGCCATGCCAACTCCAGAAAAAATCTATAAATAGACCCTCATTTATCTTGAAGAAGGGCTCCGAGAAGACAGGAAGGAGAAAAAAGAAGAGAAGAATAGGAGCGAGAAGAGACTCTCCTCGGACCACCGCCGGAGTTTCCGCCCAAACTCCAAATGACGCTGGAATTCTGTCCGACTTCCCACGGGACGCAAGAATTCTACCGCAACTGTCCACGGGAATGCTTGAAATTCTTCTAATTAATGACAGAGTTCCCTCTTGATGGCCAAACTGCGCCAAGTGATGCAGGAGTTTCCTCGGCCACCAAGAAGACGTCGGACTTCTACATGCGCCGGACCTTAACTCTTCGCCAAGTTTCTACGCGACGCCCCGGACTTCTACATGTTACCGGACTTTTTGCTAGACGTATATCCGAAGATGGATTTCTTTCTATTATTGGAATTCTACCTGATGCCGTCCTTCTAACCTTCATCGTCAAACACAGTCCTTCCAACTCCGTCGCAAGACAACGGTCCTTCCGTCCTCCGTCGCCAGCCCGACTACGGTCCTCCTGACTTATTTCGCCCGCAACTACAATCTTTCCGACCTCTGTCGCCGCGCGACTACAGTTCTTCTGACTTACGTCGCCCACTAACTACATCCTTTCCGATCTCCATCGTCAGCCGACTACGTCCCTCTTTGACTTACGTCGCCCACGACTACAGTCTTTCCGACCTCCGTCCCAGTCGACTACGGTCCTTTTAACTTACGTTGCCTGCAGTCTTTCCGACCTCCTTCGCCCGTCGACTACGGTCCTCCGACTTATGTCGCCACCGACTACAGTCTTTCCGACCCTCCGTCGCCCGCCGACTACGGTCCTTTTGACTTAAGTCGCACACCGACCACAGTCTTTTCGACCTCCGTCGCCCGCCGACTACGATCCTTCAAACTTACGTCTCCCACCGACTACAGTCCTTTCGACCTCCGTCACCAGACTATGGTCCTGTCGACCAAACGAACACGTCAATAGAGATTCTTTGTATTCAAAAATGTAATGTACTCTATAAAATGTCATCAAGCTAAGGTCTTCTCCCAATGAAGGGCCTCATTTGTAATCAACTGCAATAATAGTGGATTCATTCAAAATTGCGCTAGGCCCCGTTGGTTTTTCTACATTTTCAGGGGTTTTCCACATATAAATCTTGGTGTCTCCTATGAATGCACTTCTCTTATCTGATTGCGTGCCGGATTTTCCGTACAACACTAAGACGTTAAACTTCATATTTCTCTACCGCCGTGAATACTCCTGGACGCAAAAAGTAATATTAAATAATTTAAAAAAAAGTAAATATTATTTATTTTAAATATTTAACTACTAATTTAAACTATTTTAAATATTTAACATTATATTTTAACTGTTTTTTAATAATATTTATAAATTTAATTGTTTTTAATATAATATAAAATATGATTCTTTTTATTTTTAAAATAAAATTTAAAATAATATTTAAATTGATATTTAACATTTAAATTATTAAAAAATATTTAAATAACTTTTTTTTTCAAGAATTTTTTTTATATGTTTAATCTTTTCTTGAAAATTTTTATTAAGAAATTAAACATATAAGTATATAACACGCCAAAATAATTAATATGCGCCAATTTTGAAACTTTGAATATGCCAATTATTTTGAAGAATTAAATCATTTTTAAATTCTTAAATAATTACGTGCTCTTTATAACTTAAAAACTTTTATATGCTCCGTATGGGAGCTTCCGGCGGTAACG